CTTATGTGACGGTAAATAATTGATCGATGACAACCAAAAAGACTGTGGCGTCTCGAAAATTCAAGTGTAATAAGAAGTGGCAGAGAAAGAGAGTTCTAAAAAAATTTAAAAATGCAAATTTGTTGAACATTTCTTTTCGAATGAATAAGCACAATAATAAAAAATGGTGTATTGAAGAATTTCCACGGTATAAGCGATACTACTGGAAAAAAGAGAGTAGGAAGGGTTTAAAAATAAGAAAAACATACACACCCTTTGAATTCATTGGAAAATATATCTAGATACAGTATATGCTAATAAATAGGTGAATAGTAGAGTCGGCAATGTGAAACGATGTTTTAGATGCCATAGGACATAATTTAAAAAAGAGAAGAGATGCATCTATTTGTTGCTAATGGTTCATTGCACCTGACATCAAAAATTGAAATAATCAAATGATCGTATCCTTTCATCTTTTCTTAACGAAAAAATGACACGTGTCATTCTCACAGCGACCGAACCCATCTTTTATAATATCTCTTATCTTATAAAATAGAAGTCAGAAAGAGATTCCTAAAATTACTCTCAGCTTAACAACTCAGCATTTTGTATACGTGTTTCACCCACAAATTTTGGAATTTTTTTTATTTTTTCTGCACTAATATATAAATAACTAATATTATTAGAATTTATTTTATCCGTTTCTTCTCCCATTTTATCGCTCCACCCTATCCACTCTCCCACAATCTCAACTTCCTCTTCCACTTCTCTTTTAAAATCGATTTTTACTCTTTTTTCCAATAAGAAAAAAAAGAGTAAAAGATTCTATAGTATTTGTTTTTGTATTCAAATACTACGCTTCTTTTGGGTTAATTTAGTAGCAAGAAATAAACTGTACAGAGTGATTTTGGGATTTAGTGGCTACAAAATAGAGWYTAAAATAGAAGAGATAAAAGAGGGAGMTGMTTTGACTTTCAAGAAACTTGCACAAGAAGACGACYTCGAGTTGTTGTATCATAGTGCTGAAACCAAAGTGTGAGTAGTGTATTAGAGGCTYTTTGATAGTTGTACATGAGCCCTAGCAGTTTTGATCGCATAGTCAGTTTGATCTCTTGCGATATTGGTGGATTAAAGAAGAAGATGATTACACGAAGTAAGCAACATCTCTTGATTCWTTTTTTAACATATTCTTATTAATAAATCTACATTTCTGGTTGTAAAAAAAAGATTTGCGTTCATGTTATGTATATACACAAGTCTAAATCATCTAAATCCTTCTTACTGATAAATTTTAATCAACATTCACTGTTTCTAGATCAAATTTTGTTCCACAGCATAGAGATCGCTTGGAAGAAATTTGGAAGAAAAAAAACAAAAAATGAATTCGATGAAACAACAAGGAATAAAGAACAGTGGTGAAGATAAAGTAACATCGAAAAGCACCGTAGCTACTAATTCAATTTTTATTCATATTAGGTTAGTAATCTAARCTTTGATATTTCGATTAACCATGTTTCTTTTGAAAGATTTGATTGTTTCAAACAAAATGAAAAATGTAAATTTAAACTAATTTTATATTAGGCCGTGCCAATTGGCACGGGCATTAATACTAGTATATAATATAAATTTCAAATTCTATCTGTACTAGAACAGGCGAGTAAGAAGAAACTTGACAAAGAGCCGCTAATTTTCAGAAAAAAATTTCGAACACGGAATATTCTTTCCGGAGTTTATACATTTGGCCCCACTTTTAGAAAAAAATAACAGGAATCAAATATGTTTTGGGCTTCTTCGTTTTATCTCTTCAACATACTTTGGGCATTCATTAACTGAACTTTGAAGATATAACTGAACTGAATTCGAGGCAGGCTCATGTTACTTTTCTTAATAAAAATGTGTATTTTTTCTTCCCGTAACACTTTCTTCTCATTAATTGTACTAGAATTCGCACTCCATAAAATCACAGAAAGAAA